GTGTGTGTGTGTGTGTGTGTGTGTGTGTGTGTGTGTGTGTGTGTGTGCGTGTGCGTGTGTGCGTGGGGTGATATATACATATATATACACCCCAAAATTAATTTAATTATTATTTATAAGACATTGCTTTTATCTCACCTACATAATGATGTTCATGTAAATAGGACTTTTATTTCAGAAACATGATATTGCGAAGCATTTGTCCGACTTTTTGAATTTCCCGCTTGTCGCCTCGTGTCATGAAATCCTAGCCGTTCCTTCGTTACTTGGGCTTTGCTCTTTCCGGTTTGTATTCTCGCAAAGGTGTGTGGTGTTGACAATTCTTTGGCAATTTAAGTTGTTTTTAGTGAATATATGAAAATGTATATTAAGAAACATATCAATTTAATGATTTTTACTATTTTTACCAATAATTAGGATCAGAACATTAATTTGTATTTGACACGTGTGATTTGTGTACATGTGCACTAATTCATATATTGATTATTTTATCTAATTAAACTTTCCTTTCAGATGCCGTCTGTAACGCTAAAGGACGTCGATCAGCAAAAATTTGTGAAGGCTTTCGCAGCTTTTCTCAAAAAGTAAGTAAAAATATCACAGAATGAAAATCCTAACCTATAACTATAACCTATCCTCTTATAACTATAACCTATCCTCTATGTAATGTTTCGAACACATATTGAATTGTTCTTATTTATTTTTTATCATTTAATACTACTATTAATTCTTTTCTGTATTATTTTAATTCACTTTTATAAAAATTTCTGTTTCACATTGTATTTTGCAAAAATAATTATATACTCTCATGGCTGTTTTTCTTTTAAGAAATACAGTCGATACAAGTATTATTCTATTTTTAATGTTTATTAAATGCCAAGAAAAACAAAATGATATTTGTGTGTCAACTGTATTTTTCAAAAGGAAAGCAGCTTGTATATACTTGCTATGATATATTTTGTAATTCGACTTTATAAAAATTTAGAACTGGCAAGATGCGGGTACCAGAATGGGTAGATATTGTGAAGACGGCGAAATTCAAGGAACTGGCTCCTTATGATCCTGACTGGTATTACATCAGATGTGCAGCTCTGGTGCGTCACATCTATATTCGTAGCCCAATCGGAGTCGGTGCCGTTACCAAGATCTTTGGTGGACGCAAACGCAACGGCACTCATCCCAGCCACTTCTGCCGATCGGCAGGTGGTGTCGCACGCAAAGCACTCCAAAGCTTGGAGCAGTTGAAGCTGATTGAGAAGGCACCCCTTGGTGGACGCAAATTGACTAGCCAAGGACGCAGGGACTTGGATCGAATCGCTGCACAAGTTAAAGCTAAGAGCAAAAAGCAACTTAAGCTTCAGGAAGTTGTAATGTAATATTCTTTTATGTTTCTATAATAAAACACATTTAAATACTTGAATTTTGTTTTTTTAATTGTATAAACAATTTTATCGTTGGTAAATTTGCTGAATAATATCCAAGAATTTCTTTAATAATAGAAATTTACCCTAAGTTAAATTTCTATTATTAGAATCTTCCTTTAATCAGATTTACAATAGTATTCGTTTTTGATATAGTCGAAGATACATATTCATTAGAGTTGTTACACTGTATGCAAAATATATTTCTTTGGCAAATGTATTAGACTATTTTAGTAAATATTAGTATTTAGTAAATATATGCTTAAAATATTTTATTATTAATTGTTTAAAATATAATATCTTTTTATCCATATTGCATTTATGCAAAACATTATTTCTTTTTTAAGTTTTATTGAAATATACAGAAAAAAGTGATTTATAATTTAGTAAGAAAGAGATAGTATTTAATATAGGTATAAATGTATCTGCATCTTGTTATATATAATTTATAAAACTTCTGTTATATGACATAATGACATGAAATTTAAATAAAAAATGTAATTAAAATGTAATTTGTATGAAAATGTCAATGTCAAAATTAGACAAATTTCTTTTAAATTAAATAAGTAAAGAAAAGGAGGTCGAGACTGCAGATATACAATAATATTTTTGTATGTAAATTCTAAGTAGATACATCTTTCAGTTACATGAACTGTATACCTCTACTCAAATTGCATGTATAAATTGAAGCTGAGATAATATTACAATTAAATTGATCATCGATTTGATAATGATACTACTAGCATCTTAAAATACTGTAAAGAACTTAGTAAAAAATAGCTAAATACTTTATTTTGTTGATCAAATGTATATATTTCGATTATCTAGAAAAAAGAATTATAAATCGAAAAAAGATTAGATCTAAAAAAAATATTACATTTTCGATTATTTTACAACTAAAATAAAAATCCATCAATTATGGTCTTAAAATCATTTATATTTTCATAAATATTCGCTAGTCATTAAAAATTTTAAATCATGAATCATTCATTCACCTTTTCAATTTCCCGCCATTTCTCGGGTGCTGCCATCTAACGTTGTCACATCGTAATCGTCGCCATCGACTACAGCGGATGACAGCTCTGAATACGCTTCGTTTCATGGCTCGCGTTTGGTCGCGCGCGCGTCGGCAGCGCCGCCTCAGTGAAACTTCGGCCGCAGTCGCGAGTGTTTCGGCGGTACTCGGCACCGATCGAGATGGTTAGGATGCGCGATTAGATGCGAGATTCAAGTGCAAAAGGAACATCCCCGTGGACGGTAACTCTGCGTATGCGCGCGCGCGCACGTGTGCCCGCTAACTCCGATCTGTTTTTATGTATTTGTGCGCGTCGGTACGTCCTACGTCCCGCGTGACCTGCGTTCGTTCGCCGCGGCAGTGTGCATGCGCGCATGCATGCATGTATGGTGAACTGTACTCCTCGCTGACGAAAAGAGCGACGAGTTGCTGCTGTGTTGTTGCTGCTATGCGTCTCCGCGACGGCTGGTGGCTCGCCGCGACAATGTCGCGAAAATAATCACGCCACCGGTCCCGCGAGTGTTTCTCACTCTCTTTCGCTCTCCCTCTCTACGCGGACACGGAGAGGTGGTGGCCGTCGGACACGCTGCTCGAATCTATTTCTCTGTCACGCTTCCTCGTCATTCATTCCTCTCTGTCTTTTTCTCTCTTTTTCTTTCTCTCTTGCGCCCTCTTTCCTTTACGCATACGCACACCCGTGTTCTCTCTCTCTCTCTCTCTCTCTCTCTCTCTCTCTCTCTCTCTCTCTCTCTCTCGCTCCCTGTCACTCTTCGTGCCGGGACGACGTTTATACCGTTCGTCACAGAGAGGCGGAAAGGAAAACGTGATCGGGGTGTCCCCGGTGGAATTCATGGTGAGAGACAAGTGAAGTGAACGGTGTCCGCGGAGTGTAAAAGTACGTGCAGACGCCGGCAACGACGACCGCAACGGCGACGACGAGGAAGACGAGCAAGGGGGAGTCGCGGTGGCGAGAAGCGATCCGCCGAAGGGACAGCCTCGCTTGCAGCTGGGCGCTGGGGGAGGGGTGGGGTGGACGGCGGGAGACGGAACAACTGACGGAAAACGAGAACGGGTGGAAAGATGCCGGGCCTGATCGCCGTGAGCGAGTTCGTCGAGGAGACGAGGGAGGACTACAACTCGCCCACCACGTCCACTTTCGTCTCACGAATGCCACAGTGCAGGCAGACTATCACATCCCTCGAGGAGGTGAGTTACGACGATTCGTGTAACACCCGTCATGACGCTCCTTCCCGTAAACATGATTCATTGAAATTGACCGAAGCCTCGATCTTTCACCGGTTCTCCTATTCTTCATGCTTCTCATTTTCGAGAAGTCAAATGTACGATTGCATCAATTAATAGTTTACAAAAATCTGAGGTCCGAGTAATTTATCTTGATACTTTCATCCATTTTTGTTTCAATTTTTCATACATTTTTAGTCCAATTTTTTTATTTATTCATGTTTTGATTTTTTACAGTATTTTGTATTTAGTGTATTTTTACACTATAATTTTTTTTTGTACATCGTTGCTTCAATTTTTTGATTCACTGTTTCTCCAATTTTTCATTTATTATTCTCTCTAATTTTTATCTCTCTACTCTCTAATTTTTATCGTGTTTTACTTTAATTTTTCATATACTTTTGCTCCAATTTTGATACGTTATTAATTCAATTTTTTAATTTATTTTCCCCTCTGATCTTTTTATGCATTTTTGTTTTAATTTTTCATTGCTGCATTCTTTGCTCCAATTTTTTAATACATGTTATTACTCCAATTTTTCATTTATTCTTGCGCTGATTTTTTTCTGTTCCAATTTTTCTCAAGTATTTTTACTGCAATTTGTATTTGTTCTTAATTTTTAACTATATATTTTCTGGTTATATATTTTTGCTCTATTCTCTCTCTTAATGCATTGTTATTACTCCATTTTTTCATTTATTCTTGCATTGATTTTTTTCTTGTATTTCTGTTTCAATTTTCCAAATATTTTTCTGCAATTCATATTTGTACTCCATTTTTTACCGCGCTTTTTTAAACGCATTCTGCTCTCGAAGTATCTGCGGCTATTATTTCTCTCCGTTCGCCACCCCATTGTATCGTATCGTCCTTGCCGCTCTCTTTTTCCTGTCAACGTAACCGTACCGGATTGCGCGTGTTTTTTTATGCGTGGGCGTGTATATCGCGTATATATCGGTGTATATCGGTTGCGTGATACGCATCGGGAATGTTTATCGATAGTCTCCTGATTCCATAAAGCGTATGATGTATCATTTTATCTTTGTTTAACATACGACGAACAAGAATAAAATGATACATCATGCACTTTACAGAACGCAGCCAATGTTCGACATTCTCGACCGCGATTCTGCAAACGCCAACGATTCGTTTTAAGTAGACATCAGAACGATCGTAACACTTTCCGGACGATAGTTTTCACGGTTTTTGCATGAAAAGAACGGTTTTGTTAAAAGAACGAAAATTTTACTACACTGGAAAAGTTACAAAATTAATAAAAATTTTTGTTAAAAATGGACAAAATTTTCTCATTAAATCTATTACATGGATAAAGAACGATGTAGAAGGATCTAAAAATTTAGATAGATCTGAAAATAATTTTCTTGGACCATGAAAATACTTACGTAAGAATCTCAAGCATGATGAGCAATATCATAAAAAGTTTTGACATTCCAGCAACCAGCGTTCTACATAATTATTTTAATGGTTTAATAAAATTATTTTTATATTTATATCTAACTAAATGTTTAAATCTTCAGCAAAATAGTTCTTCCCATATATATATATATATATA